GATGATTTCAAAATGGGAAGTTGAAAAAGTCTATGTAAGAACTACACTGAAAAGTTTCAATCTAATTAAAGCTTTTTAATGATTTCGCCAAACATCAAAATACAACCATATTGTGAATTCCTAAGTGACAACTTCATTTCATCCAGAACCACGTCTGATGGATACGTTTTACCACAACAAGAACAGTGGTCACGCAGACTCCATGTGAAGCAGAGGCTCCTCTGCTTCAGCTTAACTAGCTCTTCTTTCTTTTGTCATGGTAAAGGTACACCTGAAAGGACAGCGCGGCATGAGATGTGAATGAATTTCATTATGAACAGGTAGGTGGGCCGGTTGGGAGATCCACTTTATATACTGAATATCGGCTCTTCTTTAGCACTTAGTCTTCAGGAGGAAATAATATTGTTCTGTATTGTGTTTGTTTTTTTTTTCTCCTCAAAATAGCTAATGCAACTCTTAAGACTTGGAGCAAATTTCAGAAGCTTCAGAGATTACAAGTCAGGGAGGAAATACTACGCTTACCTTGTTTCATCCTTGCATTATTTCGAATTGTATAAGACCTTACAAGTTCTGTGGTTACATATTCCTTGGCATACATTCAGGTTTTTTTGTTGGCCTCATTTGGGATACTGTGTTCAAAATATTTTTTCTGACAGGATGTTTCCTGTAGACATGCTCTAGCCACAAAGGCGGCTCTAGTCAGAAGGTCTTCACCTGGGTAAGCCCTAGTCCTGGACCACATCAGGTCTGCTGTGCTCTGATGCCACAGCACAACGTCTAGGTGACGCTTAGCTGCTGGCCTTATTAGCACACGCAGGTTTCTGTTACTGTGGAGGAATTCTTGTGGTACACAGTAGTTCATGTATTACACATTGGTAAGATACTTGATCCCGACAGAACTCTGTATCTGCACAGATCTGTTTCTGCTGGCATTTTCAGCTTCCTTAACCAGACCGATATTCTGTTTTTCCTTCTTTTTACCAATCGCCTCTCTGTTAAATTCCTGTTTTTGAGCCAAAGAAAGTTCTTCCTACCTTTTCATGCAGGACAAACTTTCATACACCCAGTTTTGTCTAGATAATTATTCCTTTGTTTTTTGATCCGCAAACTACTGACATAATGTTTACACAGGCCTGAGTTCTGCCAACAACTTTCTGGGATTGTTCCCTCATGCCTTTCTGTCTTTGACCTCTCTCCTATGTCCAGACCACACAGTAATAATTCTATGTTCAAAACAGCTCATGAATTCTTTCAGATGTTGTCTCATTGCTAGGTCTTCTGCCAATCTCTGACCAATCCAGTTGGAGAGCATTTGATGTTTTCTGTGGTAGGCAGGAATCTTCGCCATCTCCCTTCAGTAACTTCCTAAATCCCAAGCATAAAATTAAGAAATTTAACCAATCTTAGTCATTTTCCACCATTACCTACAAACAAGCATTGCAACACAACAACTACTGTCATGGTTATTCCACATCATAAAAGCATGGGGAATTAAAGAGTCAATACTCCAGTTCCACAGACAGACAACTTTCCAGATAGCTGGTTCCTAGAAGAGGAGAACTACATAACTCAGAGGACTTTGCATGCAGAAGAGGAAGATAAGTCATCGGATGAAATCAGGGACTCGCTTTCTCTCTTGCTGCCTGGCAGTGTGCGGCTGTGCTTTCCAGCCATTTCGTCTTCAATTCAGATTAAGGCATTTCGTTCCAGACACTCTCATTTTATTTATTAGCCTCAATTCCAATTATATTGTATTAAATTGTGTTATCTTGCATTCCGATATCACGTTTAGTAAAATAAAGTTTCCTCCTTAGATCGTTGCCTCTGTTCTGTTTTTTCGGGCCCAGCTCCCACCTCCCTACTCTCCCCCTTTTCCCTTTCCCTTTTTTTGGGAGCAGTGGACCTGCAGGCCTGCTGCCCCGTCACAGAGAGATTGATCTAGATAATGGCATTACAACTGCTTTCAGGCCTACAGGTTTGCTTTTCTGCTGTTGCCATTCCCAGCGACAGAGCGCTGGAGCAGATTGCCAGTGGTGGTGAATTATCCTTCTCTGGAGAGATATTCAAAACCTGCCTGGATGTGACCTGTGTGATATACTCTGAGTGACTTATTGACCAGGGTGGTTGGACTATATGATTTCCAGAGGTCCCTTCTAAGCTTGATCAATCTAAGTGTATCTCACTTTGTCCTAAAAAAGCAATTACCAGCTACAAAATACTGTTAGAGTGGCCTTCTAACTACTTTGCCATGCTGCATTTTATCTGCGTCACTCTAATCTGATCAGTAAGTCCAAAAAATGTTCTGTTGCTTCCACTTCTTCCTTTATGGACCTGACACTTGCCTGCCACTTGGATGAAAAAACAACAGGGTTAACTGTACAGAAGAAATAATGCAAGCGCGTGGGAATAATTGTCCCATCTTGCCAGGCTTGTACCTACGTAACTTCCTTACATGCAGATTCTTGATTGCTATTGTGAAACTACAAGCAGTAGGAGATGCAAAATTTGTATCCAGTACCAAACACATTAAAAATCTTGCATCACAGAAATAAGTAAATCCGTATCGCTTAGAAAATACAGATTTGCTTTATTTTAAAGCTGCAGTATAAACAAGAACTTAGACTGAGCTGGTTACAAAGGCAACCAAAGATCTCTTGTGTGTACAAAAAAATGGTCACACTGTTTTCCCTACCAGCATTGGAAAACTAGCTTGCAGAGAAAAGCTTCTTCAAAACTCTCAAGTAGCTTCCACATGATGAATTCAGACAAGAAAATCGGAAGTAATGATTTTAATCTATTTTTTTCTTCTATTGCTGCTGCTAAAAGTGAAGTTACCATGCTCTTAATGATAAATCTATTCAAATAGTTTGTAAGTTGTTAATTCCAAGAAGATCTTCATTTTAGATGTGTCAGGCACAAGGGAGCCTTGCTTCTTGTGTTTCTTAGTAGTAACCAAAAACATATCTGAGAAGCAGTAGGAGAGAATCTTTCAGCCATCTCAAATTACTAGGAATAGGTCAAGCACCAACCATTTTGCTTCTTACCAGATGGGCACCAGTGCTTGGGATGAGCAAGAGGGAAGCTTTCAGCCTTCTTGTATGAACAAGGAAAGAAGGGAAACTACCTTCCCTTCCTTTCTGTATCATGGATCTAATACTGTAGGTGTTACTCAAATACATGACCCAAAATGCCCCCAGGCACATTTAGTTGGCCTCATTCCGGAGGTCAGTTAAAACTTAAATGACTTACCATTAAAATGATAACTTTCGATTTTTTTATTATTATTATTATTTTCAATCAAAGCCTAAAAAATATTTTCTCAGAATCCGCTTCTGAATGCTCTTTCACACTATATAAAATGCTATAAACATGCTATAAATATGTAAATTTGGAATTTGAATACAAAGAGAAGGTGAGCCTTCCAGTTGTTAGAGAAGCTGCAACTAGGTAAGCCAATTGAGAGGAATGGAAACAAGATGTCCATAAGGTATTCCTGCAAGCTGTTTACCTGTTGATGCATAATTGTTTATCTCGGTACCCTATCAAATACTTAGACAGTTTCAGTCCTAAGCTTTTTATTATGCTAATGAATTCCACATGTTCCTGATATTTTACAATTCAAATATATCTATTTGAACATATACATACATATTCCATCACTGCACACCACTGAAAAGAACAAGGGGTAACGGACACAAACTGGAACAGAGGAAGTTCCATACTAACACAGAGACGAGCTTCTCTACACTGAGAGTGACAGAGCACTGGAGCAGGCCATCCAAAGTGGCTGTGTCATCTCCTTCTCTGGAGATACTCAAGAATATCTCCACACCTCACCATGCAACCTGCTGCAGGGAACCTGCTTTAGCAGGGGGTGGCATTGGATCATCTCCAGTGGTCCTTTCCAATCCCTACAACTCTGTGACATGCTCACAATTACAGAGTGCTCAGTTCACAATTATGGAGATCAGAAGCAACCTTTTTTAAAAATTAGTGCAAGTATCTGCACACAGAGGACTTTTCAAGGCTTCAGCTGCTTCACGACAAGTTCCCAAGCTTTGTTCTCTAACCATTTATTCATCTCTGGTATGGTCTTCCTTGAGCTCCAATTTCATTTGGGAATGAAATAATTACCAACTTCTCTACAATTTAACTTGTATCTCTTCTAAATGGTAATTATTGAGTAAGGAAAGATGATATAATCAACCATGCCTATAGCTCACAAAAACAGCTGTAAATTCCTACTTCTCCACTTAGCTGACGGTTGAAGAAATTTCTTACATGTATCAACACAATACAACAACAAGGGAACCCACTACAAAGGGTGCTAAGTGGGAAAAGCAAACCAACCAAAAAATACCTTCACTGTAGGCTGGGACTGCAACACTTTCAAGGCAGCCTTGCCAAGTACCAAGGATTACAGTAACATCTACTAGACCAAAATCTTTAGGGATAAGTAATTCTCTCTGAATAACGATACAGGAATAAATACAGAGGAGTAGTAAGATCACCTATATCCTAAAGACAGGGAAGTGCAGTGATCCACTAAGACTGGGCCAGTTCCAATACCTGTGCACATGAAGACCTGCATGACCATGGTTATCAGGCAGGCAGGAAGAAGAGAACGGCTTCGTCTGCAC